ATGATGCAGGTGGCCCTCTTCCTGCATCTGGAGGTGTAGATGTCTGTGATGGTGGGGAGACTGACTCCAACAGACTTCTGTGCAGCCTTCACCACTCTCTGCAAAGCTTTTCTTTCTGCAAGAAGCTTAAGCTGATGTTACAGCCAAAACTTTGTTCAGGGGTAAACAGGACATTAAAGATGTTTTGGCCTTTTTCTCTTGCCTGCTGCTTCTTTTGCTTATTTGATTGTGGTGGTTTTGTCATACTTTGGAATTTTCCAGTTTTCCTTTTTTCCCCTTTTACCAATTTCATGACAAATGTGGGGGGCAGAATAACCGTAGGTTCATCTTACCAAACACCATTGAAATAGACTCCTTGTTAGATTTGTGCTAGAAATGGGAAGGAGAAAGTTTATGTAAACGGCTACTCAAAAACAACTGATTTATTTTCTACACAAGTTATGTCACATAAAACTATGATTGCACATGGTTATTTCTTCACAGTGTACATGTATGACCATACCTGACTGAGTTTGCACATATACGCTCATGCTCATGCACTCACAAGCATTTGTTTCCAACCAGTGGTGGTCTAAACAACCTACTTTTGTCTGACAACGGCATCAAGACACGGAGGTGCACATATGCAGAAAGCTATTTGGAAAGGCCTCCTCGTAGCTGTCAGCTTTTATTATGCGCTGAGGTGTCATGTTTGTTAGGAAGCTGAGTGCAGATGGCAGAGTGGAAGAAATGGATCACTAATTTTAACAATGATTAATGAACAGAGATGGAAAATGAATTACATCGGACTATTGGAGGCAAGGAATATTTTCTCTGAAAATGTTAACTTCGGCTGCCAGGCAGCCGGCCGTGTTGTGGGAGTATATTGAGGAGGGGGAGGGAGTGTGTGTGTGTGTGTGTGTCTGAGTGCACGCACTAAGGTGCAATTTTTCCCTCACATCTTTTGTAGAATCAACACTTCACTGCTCTTGCCTATTACTTTAGCACTCGCCTGCTTAAACACTGCCTGCTTTATACCCCCCACCCCCATGTGTATTGCTCTACCAGTTAAGGTACACACTTTTTATTAAGGTAAACACAGGAAAGGTTAGACTGTCTTAAAATGTTAGCTATTTTCATTACTCTGCAGTGAGCTTTATATCAAATCAGAGTTGTAGCAAATTCAATCAAGTGTTAGTAGCTTTTGGGGTCCATACACCCCCCCCCCCCCCCCCAGTAGAACAATAACCTGTCTCATAGAGTACACCTGATTCAGAAAGTGCTTCACAATCTCCTTGTCAGAATACATTTATATTTTGGATCATGACAACATAAGTTAAAAAGAATTTGGAAAATTATTTCTGAATTTCCCTTGTTAAAACTTCACCGCGTGACATTTTGAATCTACTCAGATGTAAGTTGCCTCATAAGTGACATTTCACCAGCATGTTTGCGTGAGCCAACTGTGACAGAAGCAGTCGGCGCATCTGCATTTCATACATCTGCGTTACAATATAATAGTTTAAAAAGTGCAGCTGACACCCCTCATTGCTTGTGATCTGAGCACAAACTCTTGTAGTTTCTTCTTCCTATCGCTTTTTTGGTATTTTCTATAAGACCCCCAACCTAACCGGCCCCACCCCCAGTCGCCCTGCCTGTGGTTGTGTCTCTGTTGATGTTTGTCTGGTGGGCGGCTGCACAGTGCAGCATGGTTTAATAGGTAGATGCAAACTATTTTGAATTTAATTAACCTTCTGATGGGAAATACATAAAAGGAGAGAAGGGAGCAACTCCTAGCAGCAATGTGTGTTTGTGCACTTGTGTTTCTGTGTGTGCAAACAGGAGACGGAGAGGAAAAAGAGACGGAGGAAGAGATCTCAGGTTACAACAGCATATGCTAAGCACTCAGAAAACATACACAATGCCTTTGGTGAACAAGGTAGTCAGTATGCCCTTGGGAGCCAATTTAGATTGTGACTTAAGGCAACATTGCAGCTTTGTGTGTGAGCAAGTGTGTGTGTTCACAAGGTATGAGTTTTACTCTTGATGCTCCATTGAAACAATAGTGGTGGATAAATCTGGGTGGCCCGCCTGTAGACCCTCCACATCTGTGCTCCCCCACTCTTACAGGATGCAGCCAGCCTCTCTATGCCTGGCTGCTTCTCCTCATTCAGAAAATCTGCAAGAATGAGACCTATGTAGGACCTTCAGCATTGACATTTTAAGCAGCATCTACATATTGGATGACAAAAAGATTGCTACTTACAAAATAATATGCAAAAACATGTCAGTATGGGTCTTATGGTGATTGACAGGTAATCTCGGGGTTCAAAAACAGTGCAGTATTGAGCGTTTAGTTCTAAAATTGAAGGTAAATACACAAAAGCAAGATCTTACAGATTACAAGCTAAGTAAACTTCAGCAGATTTAAGCAAACCTTTGAAATGTCACAAAAAATGAAATGTAAATAAGGAGCAGTTTAGTCAGCTGCGTGGAGCTGGATAAATTAACTTCTTCAACGAAGAACAAAGCAAAACCATTTTATTTTAGGGTTTTAACCTCAATAAAGCATAAATATAATTTCATAGAGTTTTCATAATGATGTCTTGATATTTTTTATAAAGTACACAGTATACCAAAGACTCCAACCAGTGCTATGCAGTCTGTATGTCAGGATTTTACTCAGAGACCACTCAACAAGATGCAAGCTTTTTCAAAACCAAAAGTAGCTCTTTTTTTCACATATACTGTGTGACAGCATGATGATTTTTTTTTCTGATTGCAAGCGGCAGAATTTCTTGCCTGGATAAGTCCATTGTGCAGTGTTAAAAACTCAAGAAGATAGTTTTGTTTGTCCTTTATCTCTGTAATATTTATCTTAACCTCTAAACCACATGGTTTATCTCAGCAAATGTGTCTATCTAAGAAAATATCAAAACTGTCTTGACCAAAAACTGGGAGTTAGAACTAGGCCTGTCGCAATAACAAATTTTGCTGGGCAATTAATTGTCTCAGAAATTATTGCGATAAACGATAATATTGTTTGAAATTTAACAATCATTAATTGTCAAATTTTAGAAGAAATGTTGATTTGTTTGGTTTATAGTACCTTTTTTGACCACCTGATGGCACTATAAGACTGTTTGAACCAAAGGATGGATAGGTTAGCAGTGTGTCTCTTTAAGAAAAAATGGGAGCGAGGCCCCTTGACGTGACATGGGCTCTCTCTTTGGTTCTCAAAATGGAGAACGTTCGGTGTGGTTTGAGCTCTTTAGTATAGCATTTTTGACATAAAGCTTTTAATAAAAAAATCAGTAAACAAGTTCTTAGCTTTTTTTTTTCAGAGAAAAGCAACTCTTTAGATGAAGGCACGGGTTTCAACCATGAATTTTGGAGCTCAACAAAACAGAGTTTTTTTCCCCGAGTTCGGCCTGTTAGCTTAGCTCGTAGCTTAGCTTCTCAGCCTTGCTGCTTTTAACGATCCAAAAACGCGATTTTGGACGGTTGAAACTGATTTTAAAGAGAAAAGAGAAAGGGAGGTGTCAGTGAAGAGCACGGGAGTTGAGCCTTTTGTCGTCCAGTGTCTTCAGTAGAAAGAGACACGAATAAACGACAAAGCCAGTAAATGAAAATGAGGTTGATAATTTTCATTCATCATGAGATTAATTGATTTATTGTTTATCATGACAGGCCTAGTCAGAACTGACAATCATTTGTTTTCTGATCATGTAGGTGAAGCTCTTGACACACTAGATGACAATCCTGTTGAATGTTCCTTTCAGATTGTTGGCAAGGTCTTCAGGGCCATATTTTGAACACAATTATTTACCATTTTGTCTTTTAGACCAGGATGTTTTTGAGCAAACACAAGATTTTTGTGGCAAGTGTTTCAGGATCCTGGGTGGTGGTATCATTTACATGATGACGGTGTGACGATGATGTGTAACTCACATGCTTTGGCATGGCTGGGTTATTGAGAGTTTATAGAATTTGAAGCCATATTGGCCTCATTCCTAGGCTACAACCACTGTCATGACAAGGTTAAAGAAACCACCTATTGTGGACTTGATACCCAAGATTGTAGCATTGTGATTTCATGGTGTGCTAGAGTTGTGCCACATAGAGCTTGGTGGGGGCACATAAGAGTCATGGGTAAGTGGAAAACATCAAGAAAAACCCCCTTTGTTGTCAAGGACTAAGAGCACAGCTGTGTCATGATTGACAAAACATTGTGTGAAGATTTTCACATTTTCCATGATCCAGCTCTGTTCAGATAGGTCCTGCAGGTTGTGAAGAGTGTATCAAGGTTTTCTCAATGTGAACGGACCCTTGTATATTCTAGAAGTGTGGGGCTTTGCATTTCACAAAACAGGAAAAATAAATTGTCCCAGACACTTTGATTCAGGTTGTGCTTATCTCTCGCCTTGAATACTGTAATGCTGGCCTAGATGGTTCCAAGCTTACACAGTAAACCTGCTTCAGATGGTCATGAACATGGCGGCATGTCTTGTGTACTTTTTAACTAATTTAAGTACACATGATTCTACTTTTCACTCTCTAATTTCTGGCCACCCATGGTTGGCTGTTAGTATCAATATTGACTGCAAAAAAAGATTTTTAGGTGACTTCACTTACCTTGTTCTTTGTGTTTCTGACCTTTGACATACTTATTACTGAATACTTGTGGTTGTATGCAAAATATCCATCCATTGTTTTCACTCGGACGTTACATTATTCAATTATAATTTTTGGTTAAAAACATATAAGTAAAATGTTGCTATACAGAACCAATTATACTGTTGTATGTTTATCCAGGATGGCGTAAATGAGATTGGATATCTTTGCAGTGAGATTTTAGATACATAGACAAGTGAGGAAGTTTTGTGGGGAAGGCGATCAGCAGACAGTTTTTAATGGGTATTTTTCTTCTGTCACCAATGTTGCAAACTTGTCAAGCTTCAAATGCAGGTGACAATAAATTTCCTGGTGTGTGCGCTTTGTTTACAGGCTGTTGTCTTCCCACCTTCTGTGAAGCTGTCGGCGCTCTTCCTGACATCCGGCACCCGTTGGAGAGGAGGCAGTCACGCAGGTACGATCATACCCATTGATCAAGGGAAAGGGGAGGATATTAAAGGTGTCTGTCACATTTACAGACTTGTGCTCTTAGTTTTTGTTTTCATTTAAATCTTTGTCTCGTGGAAGACAATTAACCATGCACTTTATAGGCAGCATCAAACTTCCCAGTCCTAATGTTGAGATGTTCATATGGTTCCTGGCAGTTTTCTTGTTACTGTTTGGTTCACTCTGGAGTGTGTCAAAGTTATAGAATAATATTTTCCACAACAATTTCCATAGGTTTTTAACCAGACCAATAAATGGGATTTGAAACCCTCTAGTTAAAACACAGTTGCCTTTTTGTTGTTGTCAAAATAAAAGAAAATGCTCATACAATTGCGTGAGGGAGACCTGTAATTTTTTAAGCAAGATAAAATTTGAAACAATTACTACTAACCGAGGATGCTTTATGTGTCTATGACACTCAAGATTATCAATGCATACAGATGTCACAATTGTTCAAATAAAATTTTCCTGCCCACGTTTGTAAGAGTTAGCCTTTTTAATTTTGAGTAAATTAAATTATCATGTTTAACAAGTTAAGAAAGGGTGTTTGTTGTTCGTCAACTGAAAAGCTATCAAAGTTAAAATTGTTGGAATGAGGCACACCACACACACACAAAGTTAAATTAAATAATAATGAAATAAAATAAAAACAGAAAATTTAAATATTGATAAATATATATATATCGAATATTAAACATGAAATCAGCAAGGAAGTGGTTTAAAGAACAAAACTAATGCATGCTTAAGTGCATATGCATCTTCCCATTTAAAGAAAAGAAAATATATGATGAGTTAACACGTGACTCGTGGCTCCAAAAATCCCAAACACTAAACTGTATTCAAAACAGCATTCAGTGGAGGACGTCGAGATGTTGCATCCAACTTGTATTTGCACTGATTTGGGACAGTTTCTTTATCGAACATGCACAGGTAAAACTGACCACTTCTTGCCTGCTTTATTTCTGAATAACTATCTGAAGTATTAACGTTCCCGTTCCAGGAGCGAGGACTGCGTAGCACAAAATATTTTTGACACCACTCTCTTCATTACATGTTGAAGCACACACATGCGAGCAACATGGTCTGTCAAAAAGCCACATCTCTGTCATTCCCACATGATGCAGCTCAAGAAGACAATTAGCAAACAGAGGTGACACGGTAAACAGGTGCAAGCCATTATTCCTGGAGCTGGATAAGCGTGGCCACCTCATCTCTCATTGTGATGGGCTGTTATAAAACTGCACATGTGTGTCTGTGTGTGTCCATGATGGGGGATCGTATGACAAGTCAGAGGATGTCTCTGCTTTGTGAAGTTAAATAGCTTCATTCTACCAGGTATTCTGTCATCAGCACGTGGCCATTATCATTACTGCCATGTTCACTGGACACAAATACACGTTTTTATTATTTTAAATTCTCAAAAAATTATGCACAAAATGATAGTGAATGTAACTCATTAGAGTCCATACTTTAATATACGAGACTATTACCCTAATTTGTAAAAGTAATGAAACATGTCTTCATTCAGGCCGTTTTTTGGCAGTGATCTGTTATATAGGATCACCATCTGTCTGCTGTAATTTTATTAATCAAATATAGAATGGGTGAGTCATGCCGTTTTGGCTTGTGTCACATTGGAGGTATGTGCCACAGATTTCCCTCGTACTGGAAGCAGAGCTAACACATGCTACCCTTGACGTATTCTCACACCATTTCTCACACAAAGGGCTCGCACACAAACTCGCAGACGCTCGCACTCTTGGATGATTTCTATAGAGAAAGATGCGTAAACAAACACACCAATGCATGAAAACGTACCAAAAAAGAAAAAAAATAGGAAAAGATTTAAATTTTAAATGTGTTTTAAATTGTTTCCACACATATTGCACTTTAAATCTAGTATGGAAAATATTCTTCAGTCCAAACAATTGTGCTGGTACAGCAAACAGACCAACACGTGTTTAAATCATCAAATGAAACCAACTTGAGACATTTAACCCTTTCTGGACTTTGACCTGTGATACTTAAATCCTGGCCCCAGAGCACAACCTGTCTCAACTAATCTGAAACCAGTCCTTTTCTAATCTCGTGTTAAATCGCTGCGTTTTTGTTTCCACTTTTTGTTACAAAATGAACTGATTTTAGTTTTTGAATGCGTGATTATGGAGATCTCCATCAAAAAAGTTTTACATTCAGACCAGATGCACCCAGAGCAAGGCTGTTTTAGCAACAAAATGTTAAGATAAGCTTTACTGGTGGAGTCCAGAAACAAAAGTGCAACATTGTACTTTGTTTACTGTGCTTCATTTTCCACATTCCTGAAGCTGCCCTTGGAAATAAAATGTTATGAACCTTCTGCTTTTTCAATTAAATGCCAAGAGCACGTGCATATACCCTGCTGCTTGTGGACTGCATGTGCTTTGCTTTTGCAATGCAGCTGAAACCAGTTCATTGACTCACCCACAGTTTACTTACAATGAAGAAACTGATATGTATTGTTTTAAATAATAAAACATAAAAAAAGTCACAAAAATACCAGTCACATTTGTTTTTAGGGTGTTTTTTTTCCCCTACAGGAAAAAAAAACCAGCCATGGGAAAGCTTGGTGGAGGGTGGGATGGAGGGTGGGATGGAGGGAGTAGATAGGTCAATTTTGCCACAGTCTCCTTTCTTTAGTATTGTTGGGTTAAGACCACCGCTGCTGTGTGGTACTCTGCCATGCTGGTATAAATAAGACATGATTGGCATCACAGCAGAAAAAACCCTCCCTCTCTCACTCTGTTGCTTTTTTTTTATCTCTCTCTCGCTCTCTCTCTCTGACAACCTTCATTTGCTGGAGGAGTGGCAGACTTGGTGGGAGTTAATGATTATAATTATTTAGCTTTTTTTTTACATTGCGGGATAATTATTTAAGAGGTTTGTGTAGTCATTGTTGTAATCAGTAAAGAGAGATTACAGAAAATCCGCATGCCAACAGATGGCACTTGGCTGTTGTTGTTGCTTCATATTAAACTCAGTACGGCACACTTGGTAGCAGCCAGGCGACAGCGAGAGGACAATCAGAAAGAGGCCAAATTATAAAACAATTTGTTCTTCATCATAAATCCATTTATCATATCACTTCATTGTAGAGGGAAGAAGTGGAAGCAACAGTGGTTAGCATTGTACTGTGTTGGTGTTCAGCATCCAGGCGGCTGACATGCTATGTGGTGGGGGCGGTGAGATTTGAGACTTGCTACGGTTCAACACAACAAACAGTATTTGACCAGAGAGGCCCCAACCCAATGGCTTTGTGTACTGTATCAGTGCACTGCCATCAATGTTCACACAAAACCTTGTTCACAAAGAAGGTCAGTGTTCATCAGCTTGATGCCTCTCGGACAAACTGCTTCAGCCTCCTCATGCTCTATAGACTGACATAACTTTCACTGATGCCTGATGTTTCAGAATCCTTGTTTCTTGTCTGCATCTGCTTATTCCATTTTTATGTCTTTTCTGTCAAACTAGAAGATAAAGAAGAAGAAGAAAAACAAAAAGGTGAGGGCACTTGCTATCCAGGGTCGGGGAGAAGGAGGAACGCTAAGGCTGCTGGCCTACATTCCAGACTAATTGTATAATTGGAAAAGCTCTCCAAATGAGCAAGCAAGGCACCCCTCAACCCCCTCCTCACTAGCTATACCCCCCACTCCACCCTATTTAGCACCCCCCCACACATATACACACACTCCATGCAGACACACACTTCACTCACTACCTGCCCCCCATTCCCCATCACCCCACCCACACACATATGCATGCCCTTCAAAAGCAAATCACAAAAGAGCATTTTGGGAATAATAATAATTTCAAAAGCATCCATTATTATTCCCACACACACTAGCATCCCTTGCAGCAGCAGCAGCTAGGCTGGTTAGTGCCCCCCCACCCCCACCACCACCCCGATCTACACACCCAGCTATTTTCCTCTTTGTATCCACATACACAAGCAGCACAGACCTCATGACATATGGGAATTAGGTATCTTCATTATAAAGAATATTGTTGCACTTCTTTACAGTTTGAGATATTTGGGAAACAGATTAGAATTTAAAAAAGCCACTTTCAGCTTTGCTTCCGTTTTCTCAGCCTCACTTCTCACCAGATGACAACCAACTACACAGTCAAAATTTCAGCCAGAACTTGAATGGTCTTTGCAGGGTCTCGGCAAGGTTTTCACGTGCTTAATATGATCGCATTGAGTTCTCCATTCAGTGTGGAAAAAAGCACGATAGGTCCACTAAAATTCATTGTGATGGCAGTGCATCGGGATCCTGGGTGAAGCGTGGACGTGTTGAGGCAGTGGTGGCTGGGTGTCCATGACATGGGGCCCACACACACTAGCGTGGCTTGGTTGTCAGAATCTGAAGCAGCACTGACCACACTGGCTTCATGTCTAGGTTAACTGTGATTGTAACAAGGTCATGGAAACAACCTACTGCAGAAATGACACCTGTGCTGATAGTTATACTAACAACGTCTTCAGGTTGAACGCTGCCCCCAATACAGATATGAACATATCACAGGAGAAGTTCATTGTTCTGCATTGTTCTTTGATGTTTGGAACCACTTTGGGAATGGCTGCCTCAGAGAAGTCGACAGGTGAGAGGGCGGGTTCCAGAAACCATCTTATCACTAGCAAACTGGTTGGTCCACTATGTGGGTGTGCTGCTTGTGGGACTGAGTTTGTTTGTGGCTCCTCGGACTGATGCAGTTCTTTGGATGAAGGACGAAACGTCTCAAAAAACAAACAAACAAAGAAGCCATCCAGATGACTTGATTGAACTTTGTTGGATTTTTTTACCTGCATTATTGAGCATGAACGTTGATGTTACAGGAGAATCTCAGTGGTGCAAAAAATAGTGGTACAAACCCTATTTAACAAGCATAGCAGCGTCATGATTGCCACTGAAGTAAGTTTTCAATCAAGTC